ACCCCTTGTTCACCTATTTACTCGACTCCTGCCAAAACATCTGTCCTACACGAAGCGATATTCGCCCTCATAATTTATAGTCGGATTGTGGCCATGGTACATTTCCGGACGTTTCGCCGACATCATCAGTGAGCTTTGTCAGTCTTAGCACCACACCCCAACTCGTCAAAGAAGGAAATGAGGCCGATTCTTTGACGAATTGCCTGCTAAACAATTGCGGTATCTCCTATTCTGGGCTATCTACACAGCAAAGTGGGAGTAAGCGTGCCATCAAAGGCTTGAGACTGTAAGAAATAACGCTTCGAGTAGTACAGATAGGGTGGCAGGGGTCGAGTGAAATACTTGAACCGGGGAGATAGCAGATGAATCCTACGGGGCAAGGGGGAGACTGATAAGACCTATGGAAGGACGGCATAAAAATAGGGCAGACTGATCAACACTTCCGGCAGAAGGGTGGAGGGGGGTAAGAAAGCAAGCGTGGAGTGTGGAGGCTTTCTTAAAATCAGCTCAAAACGATTCAAGCCCTGCGAAATCTCCATCAGTATGATACAATGCATAACGAATTACCTAACTTATGTAGGTTTTCTATCAAGCCCGCTAATATATTTCTTTATAATATTTATTGTTCACTAAAATTTTTCCTTGGCCACTAAATTCCCTTAAATGCAAATCAATTTATGGATGAGTATGCTCAAGCCTGTTGGTTCGCCCTCTTTTTCGCAACTTTGTGAAAGCGTCTGGGAGACCTGGTCGAGCTTACTTTTTCCTCTGTCCTCTTTTATAGTATTCGTGATTTCCAGCATTGGACCAGTGTAGACAAAAAAATAGGGTCCAGGAGTGGTCACAACGGTTGAACGAAAAATTGATCAAGAGGATTGCCTTCGTATCAGTTTGATAAGTTGTAAATCTTTGCTGACGATGCCGCCTCTCACTAGCGATGCCGGCGAAACGTTTGGCAATGTACCAAGTCAATGGTGCGATGTTGGAAATCGCGAATATCATGGCGGAGGATACAGGACTGCGTGCGTTCCAAAAGAGCTCCGTGACACTCCGACCAAGTTGAAGAAACAAGGTCGAACCAACACTATAAAGCTAATGGAGACTGCGATCAAACAGAAGGCCACATCATCCTAGTCTTCTTGTCTACGATATGCTTAGATCTATTTAAATTAATATAAGCTTATTATTTCACCTCTATAACTATAACTGATATTTGCTATTCATCCTACTTCCCGATTTTAATTTTTGCATACATCAGGTCCACCAGACCTTTCTATGCCTCCTCCACCTCTATTTTCTCCATCCTCAACTTCCGTTATGACGGCAGTTTATTCTTTACCACTCACTAGTCTCTCCATTTCTGCCAGGTCCACATTTCCTGACCACCTCACTATCTCAAGGAGGACTGGTCCAGATAAAAGCGCCATTAACGCTTGCTCTGATACTGGCCTTAAATTTGCGCCTTCACAAACTAATCTTGTATCTAATTCATTTTTGCTCGAAAAATGGACTCCCGCTCCAGCCACACCAAGACCCCGATGGCCATTATCGCAAATTCAGCGGAGGTCGACCATTCTCCCAAATGTGCACATTAGCTCCGAGGCGAGCGATCCTATGTCCAGATATCCTGTGTCTTTATTGAAAGCAGCCGATTCCTCATATCCTGATGGTTTTGAGGAGTATAATGAAACATCAACGTCTTTCAATGAATCAACAAAAGTAGTTATTACAACCATTAATTATTAAATGGCCTGTTTATTGTCATTTAATTCAGTATCTTGATTATTGATCTTTGTGTTCTCGATATTCCAGTGATCATATCTAATTGAATTAGGCCTTTATTGAGGTTCTTTTATACTGCGCTGGATGCCTAATACTCTCGCCTGTATAATTGTCGTGGCTAAGGTGAACTAATAATTATAAGTTGTTTGACCTTATTTTCGCAACTTGGTCATATTGGTAGGAAGACTTAGAGGAACGCACCTAGTCCGGAGTCTACTGTATGCGTGATAATTTCCAGGCTTACCGTGGACGTGGTAAATTACCAGACATTTCCGGCAGGGTCAGTGAGTCTTGCCATTCTTAGCACCATACTACAACTCGTCAGAGACAAGTAAAGCCGATCCTTTGACCAAATATGTGCTAAACAGCTGTGGTATCTCTCCTTTTGTCATTGGCTATTCACCTTTTCTATATCATCGTATCACGCCTTCATATCACATTTTTTCCTTGCTTATATAAATCTAGTGTGGTGTGCCCTTTTGAGCGACTTGCATGAGAACCCTCTACATTCCACACTGGCGTTCTCACCCCCCTTCACCCTTCTGTAGGGAATGTCGATCAGAGTCGGCCAGTGTGGCAGAGGTTGAGTGAACTACCTGAACATCAAAAGGATCCTATGGGGCAAGATGGAGACTTTGATAAGACCTAGGGAAAGATGACTGCGTAACAATATGACAGACTGATCAGCATTTCCAGCACAAGGGTGAATTGAGGTGAGAACGCCAGTGTGGAGTGTGGAGGGTTCTCATAAAAGCCGTGCAAAAGGGCACAGCACACTAAATTTAAATAATCAAGGAAAAATGGTGATAGTGAAGGCGTGATATGAGGATATATTAAAGCTTAATAGCCCAGGACAGAAGGAGAGGTACCACAACTGTTTAGCACACATTTGGTCAAAGAATCGGCTTCACTTGTAACTTTGACTATTTGCGGTATGGTTTCTAAGACTGACAAAACTCACTGACGATGCCGGCGAAACGTCTGGGAATGCATCACGTCCACGGTCCGACTGAAAATTATCATGCATACAATAGTCTTCGGACTATATGCATTCCTATAAGTCTTCCTACCAATATGACCAAATTGCGAAATCAAGGTTAAACGATTTCTACACAACGAAAGGAGACTGCGACCACACAAAAGTTCACATCATCTCTCTCGTTTTATCTTCTATTAATAATTATAAGGCTGCTTATTTAGCAATTCTGGCTTTCATGCCCTTATGACGCATGCATAAATGCCTTGCCATTCATTAATGTCTCGCCAAAACTGCGCTGGAAAAATGGCACTTAAGTGAATGTATTCTTATGTGGTCACATTTTGATTTAGTTTTATGTATTATATTTGATCACTTTTTCATATTTTGGCCAGTGATGCATCGAAAAAATAACCCGTGGTTCTTTGACTAGATACTTCCTCAGACCCATTGTTGCCATTTTAGTCGGAAATGGCAACGCTTGGGCCAAACTATACTTTGCATAGAGGTTGTTTGACCTTGATTTCGCAACATGGTTATATTGGTAGGAAGACTTATTGGAACGCACCAAGTCCGGGGTTCATTGTTGGCATGATGATTTCCAAAGTTAAACCGTAGACGTGGTACATTCCCAGACGTTTCGCCGGCATCGTAGTCGGCATCATCA